CACTCTGCAGCAGCAGCAGCAGCAGCAACGGCTGCAGCAACAGCAACAGCAGCAGCAGCAGCAAAAGAAGCACGACCTACCGCCGCATGCTGCAGTTGCTGCTGCTCTGTGGCGAGCCCTGGAAGCCAGGGGATTTATATATCGCGCCCCAGTGCAGCGCATGCAGCAGCAGCAACAGCAGCAGCAGCAGCAGCAGCAAACGCTGCAGCAGCCGCTAGCAAAAGGAGGTGGCGAAGAGGAGGCGGACGTATGGGATGTGGAACAGCAGCTGCCACAGCAGCAGCAGCAACATCGACAGCAGCAGCAGCAACAGCAGCAACGGCAGCAACAGCAGCAACAGCAGCAACAGCAGCAGCAGCAGCAGCAGCAACAGGGAAAAGAAGGCGAGAACTACGCATATTTCTTTGCTCTAAGGCGTCTTCGTCCCGAAATAGAAAAGTGAGGCAGCAGCCCTTGCTGCTGCTGTTGCTGCTGCTGTTGTGGCTGCTGCTGTAGCTGCTGCTGTAGGCGCTGCTGTAGCTTCTCTTGTTGCTGCTGCTGTCACTTGTGGTGTTCCAGCCACACGAGGTGCAGCAGCGTCATCAGTCGCTGCTGCTGCTGCTGCTGCTTCAGGTTGCTGCTGCAGCCTTCTTTGCTGCTGCCAAAAGGGCAGCAGCGGGAGCTGCTGCAGTTCCTCCCTCATGTGCGGGACATTGAGGTGTCTAGACACCGCAGCGTCGTAGAGATTGCCAGAGTATTCTGCAGCAGCAGCAGCAGCAGCAGCAACAGCAGCAGCAGCAACCACTCAACCCCAAGCCCAAGCAGCGGGACCGTCGCCAGCAGCTCCAGCAGCAGCAGCAGCAGCAGCAGCAGCAGCAGCAGCAGCAGCGGGGGAGTGGGGCTGCATGCATGCAGCTGCGTTTGGGGCTTGCCAGTGCCCGGCGACCCTTCGCATGCAATTTATGTTTGGCTTGATGCACTTGCTGCCTATTTAGCTCCTGCCTGCTGCTCCCAGCAGCAGAAAAGAACCTGGTATTGCTGCTGCTGCTGCTGCTGCTGCTGCTGTCGATGGTGTTTGTGGCGGCGGCACTCTTTTTGGGGATGATCTTGTATTTGCTGGTGTCTCTGCTGCTGCTGCTGCTTTTCTTGCTGCTGCTGCTGACAGGTGGGTGCCTCTGCTGCTGCAGCAGCGGCATCTGCCGATGAAGCTTTTGGAGCTGCTGCTGCTGCTGCCGCTGCTGCTGCTGCTGCTTCAGGCCCCCGCGGCTGCAGGTCTTTGGGCGAGATATTGCTCGTTTCCACGCTGTCTTCTTCTTGGGTTTGCTGCTTGCCCTCCAGCACCCTCCCCTCAGCAGCAGCAGCAGCAGCAGCAGCAAGAAAAGCAGCAGCAGTGCTGGTGAGGATGAGGGATTGCTGCCTGTTCATTTGCTGCAGCGGCTTCCGCTGCAGCAGCTGGCCCATGGGTGGCTCCTTAGACCCGCAGGAGATAAAATTGCCAAATCAACTGCAGCACCTGCTGCTGCAGCAGCTGCTGCTGCTGCTCCTGCTGCTGCTGCACGAGCAGCAGCAACAGCAGCAGCAGAAGCTTCTGAATCAAGTCTTTTGAAAGAATTCCTAGGGCGAAGCTGGACTGCCGATGCAGTAGCAGCAGAAGCAGCTGTACGTACACTTGGCGCTGACCGGGTGAGCTTGATAAAGAGCAGCTGGCAGCAGCAGCAAAACACATAAGCAGCAGCAGCAGCAGCAGCAGTATTTAGCTCTAAGCGACAGGCATGGCATGTCCGTTTCTGCGGTTTGTGTGGTGCTGTTTCGTGCTGTTGCTGCTGCTGCTGTTGCTGCTGCTGTTGCAGTTGCGCTTCGCCTTGCTGCACTGCAAAGCATTCGAGCGAGACTTCAAATTGGCGCCTCTTGGCAGCAGCAGCAGCAGCAACAGCAGCAACACCAGCAGCAGCACTGGCCCCCTGAATGCTGCTGCTCAGGTCTTGGATCAGCAGATTGGCAACTTCGCCCACAGAGTCCTATCACTGCTGCAGCAGCAGCAGCAGCAGCAGGGAGTGGCACCCACAGCGCCACGTCTGCTCGTAGAAGCCGCAGCTGACCCTCTTTTAGGCAGAGAGGCACTTGCTGCTGCTGCTGCAGGTGCAGCAACTTCTGCAGCAGGCGCCCCAGCTGCTGCATCGGATGACACAAAAGGTGGTGCAGCAACAGCAGCAGCAGCAGCAGCAGCAGCAGATCTGTCGCTGCAGCAGTCTCTCGTGGCAGCAGCCTGGGGCCCTTGGCCTCTAAAGGAATTACCGACAAACAAAATTGATGCTTTTGAGGATGCATTAGCTGCTCTTTTCAAGCTTCCTAGCGCACTGCAGCAGCAGCAGCAACAACAGCAGCAGCAGCAACAGCAACTCAGCACGGAAGAAATACAGCGACAGCTGCTACAAGCAGCAGCAGAGGCTGTCGCAAGCGAAGCCTCTGCCATTCAGGCAGCGCAGCAATTGCTGCTGCACGCAGGCGTTCGCGTGCAGCAGCAGCAGCAACACCAGCAGCAGCAGCAGCAGCAGCAACACCAGCAGCAGCAGCTGCAGCAGCAGCGCGGCTTGGTTGTGTTGGGAGCCGCCGCAGCAGCGCAGCCCTCTGCTGCGGTGGCTGCAGCACCAACAAGCACAGCGGCAGCAATAGCAGCAGCAACAGCAGCACCAACAACAGGAACTACGGCAGGAGCAGCAGCAGCAGCAGAAGCAGCAGCAGCAGCCAGGCAGCTTCAGAGCGGCCTTTTATTTATTTCCTGCTGGCGTTTGCTGCGCGCCTCTTTTCTGCTGCCGCTGCTGCTGCGAGCAGCAGCGCAGCAGCTGCAGCTGCACAGATACACCCGCGGGATCATTTCTGCTGCTGCTGCAGCACAGAGACTCTACGAGGCAGCAGTTAGTCTTGCTGCTGCAGTTGCTGCCGCAGGGTCTACTCTGGCCAGTGCTGCTGCTGCTGCTGCTGCACTCTTCGGACAGTGTGGAACGTCCGTGTCTGCCGCTGCTGTTCTGCCTGCTGCTGCACTTGTGTTTGTTCGCTGCTGCTGCTGCTGCACCTGCTTGCTGCCTGTCTCTTCGGTCTTTCTGCTGCAGGCCCCGTGGCAGCAGCAGTCTGCTGCTGCTGCTGCTGCTCGTTTTGTTCTGTTCTCTGTGCTCGAGCTGCTGCGTCGGATCTCTTTGCTGCTGCGCCCCATATGCCCGAAGCTGTCGGCGCAACTGCAGCAGCAGCTGTCGGCGCAACTGCAGCAGCAGCTCAACGTTCAGCAGCAGCAGCAGCAGCTCAACGTCCAGCAGCAGCAGCAGCAGCAGCAGCAGCAGCAAGGCTGGTGCTGCTGGCCGCTGTCGTGGGGCGCTGTGGACCTGGGGGGCCAAAGGCTGCCCAGGCCGGCGCTGCTGCTGCTGCCAGTGCCGCCTCACTTTCGCTGCATTTAGTTCCCGCAGCAGCTAGCCAGCAGCTAGCTAGCTAGCAGCTGGCTGGCAGCTAGCTAGCAGCTAGCTAGCAGCTAGCTAGCAGCTGGCTAGCGGCTGGCTGGCAGCTAGCTAGCAGCTAGCTAGCAGCTGGCTGGCAGCTGGCTGGCAGCTAGCTAGCAGCTAGCTAGCAGCTAGCCATTAGTTCGCGCAGCAGCTAGCTAGCAGCTGGCTAGCAGCTAGCTGCTAGCTGGGCTGGGGGCTAGGCCTGCAGCTAAACAGCTAGCTGCCCAGCTGGCCAAACGGCTAGCTGAGCAGCTGCTTAGGCAGCTGCCTAGCTAACTTGCTAGCCGGCTGGCTATCTGGCTAGCTAGCTAGCTGGCTAGCTGGCTATCTGGCTAGCTAGCTAGCTAGCTGGCTGGCTAGTCATTGAACTGGGCAGCGAGCTCAGTATCACAATGAGCCGCTAGCGAGAGAGCTACCTTGGCTGATGCTTATTCCTACTGTGCTGCTGCTGTTGCTGCTGCTGCTGCTGCTGCTGCTGCTGCTGCCTCATTTTTGATTGAGCTGCTTTTTCTGCCCTTCAGCTTGTCAAGTCCACAGACCGGCTCCTAGCTCACTAGCTATCTAGCTAGCTATTCTAGCGAAAGTTACATAGCTGGCTAGCTAGCTAGCTAGCTAGCTAGCTAGCTAGCTACCCCAGCTAAAACTAGCTAGATGGCTCTCCCAGCTAGCCATGCCTGCTGCTGGCGCTGCACTTGGCTAGCTACGCGGCACTCTGGGACCAGCAAGCTGCAGAGCATCAGCGACAGAAGGTGCTGGCTAGCTAGCTAGCTAGCTAGCTAGCTAGCTAGCTAGCCATTGCTGGAATAGCTAGCTAGCTACTCGGTTGCCCGTAGCGAGCGCTAGCTGGAGCCTGCTAGCCAAGACAGGGGAAGGAAGGAGCCTCTCGTGACTATTTGATCATTTATTTTTATTTATTTCATTTTTAATTTGTTTGCTGTCGACTCTGCAGCAGCCGCAGCAGCAACGGCAACAGCAGCAGCAGCAACTGCAGCAGCAGCAGATCCGCGTAGCCATGGAAGCACTGGTAGAAGGGGAATTGCACGCGGGAGCAGCTGCGCGAGTAAGCGGCAGCAGCAGCAACAGCGAGAACAGCAGCAGCAGCATGGCAGCAGCAGCAACAGCATGGCAGCAGCAGCAACAGCACGGCAGCAGCAGCAGCAGCAGCAGCTAGTTCAGCGTGCACCGCATTTCTTAGAACTGGCTAAACTACTCAGAAGATTGCAATCCACCACTTGGCTGCAGAACTGTTGCTGTTGCTGTTGCTGCTGCTGCCGCTAGACTTGCTGCTGCTGCAGCGCCGCTGCTTCGGCAGCAAATGAAAAGCAGATTTTCTGCGGGTGTCGGAAAGAGAGAGCAGCAAGCCAAAAAGCTGGGTAACTTTAAAATCGCAGCAAGACCAGCAGCAGCCTTAGCAGCAGCAGCAGCAGCAGCAGCAGCAGCATCTGCAGCCAGGGCAGCAGCAAACGACTAAACTTATCAGATCACGACGGAATCCTTAATGCAGTGCTATATGGTGTTTGCTGCAAGGGATATTCTAGGCCCGCTGTCATTAAACTATGAGGAGCAGCAGCAGCAGCAGCAGCAGCGGCAGCAGCAGCAACACCAGCGGCAGGGCATCAGCAGCGAACGAGAGGCTCGCTTATCCGCTTTATTGAGCGAATAACCGAGCTTAAAGTACGTGAAGAAATTTATTTCAATAGACTGTATAGAAAACAAGGCGCAGCAGGAGCAGCTGCTGCTGCTGCTGCTGCTGCTGCAGCAGCAGCAGCAAGGCAGGTCACTCCGTCTCTGCCTGGCACGCGACCGTGCCGGTATGCGTTGGACCGTTGCTGCTGCAGCCACAAATATCTTCTTTCTTTTGGTATTTCTCTCTTTTAAATTAAATAAATAAAGTAAATGAAAACAAATAATATTTAAGGAGTTAAAAGGGGAAACAGGCGCCGTTTGCTTCTGCTGCTGCTGCTGTCCGTCGCTGCCCAGCGTGTCCGCGCAGCTATCGCGGTGTCTGTGCAGCTGCTGACGGGGTTTAAATATCTTTGCCAGTTTCTTTTCTTTTATTTATTTATTTGCATTATTTGCATTTAATTCTGTCCATTATTTCACTGTCGTTTGCCCCACAGAAGCATGGCGCCTGCCGCATCCCGGCTGCTCTTTGCTGCTGCAGCGTTGCTGCTGCTGCTCGAGCAGCAGCAGCAGCCCAGCGGGCGCGCTGCTGCTGCTGCTGCAGCAGAGGAGGAGCACATGGGGGAGACCCTGGAGGGCGTGGCCCCCCAGGACGCGGATTACACAGCAGCAGACTGGCAGCAGCAGCAGCACTCCGTTGCTGACGCCAGCAGCAGCAGCACCCCTCTCCGAGAGATAGGGGAAGAGGAAGCAGCAGCAGATCCGGAAGCAGCAGAGATGCCGCCGATGGAGCCGGAGGCTCACGTCCAAGAGCACTTGTTGGAAGAGCAGCAGCAGCAGCAGCCGGAGCAGCAGCAGCCGCAGCAGCAGCAGCAGCAGCAGCACGAAGAGCAGTACGAGCCTTTGCGCTACTCCGAAGACGAGCATTACATGGAGCCGCAGCACCTGCAGCACGAAGAAGTTGAGGAGCGGGAGGAGCAGCAGCTGGAGGAGGAGGTGCAGCAGCAGCAGCTGCAGCAGCAGCACCCGGAGCACTTTGAAGAGGCGCAGCACCACCAGCAGATGCGGCAGCAGCAGCAGCAGGAAGCAACAGGGCAGCTCTATGAGGACAACTCCGAAGAGGATTTGATTTACGCGCAGCAGGAGCAGCAGCCGGGTGCGTCGGAGCAGCCGCAGCAGCAGCAGCAGCAGCCGCAGCAGCAGGCGTCGTCCGCCGCTGCCGGTGGGGAGGGCGGGCAGCAGCAGCAGCACGACGCTGCTGTGCATCAGCCGCAGGAGCAGCAGCAGGAGCCCCACGCGCAGCAGCACGCCCCGCAGCAGCCGCACGAGCCGCTGCCTGAGCAGCAGCAGCAGCAGCAGCAGCAGCAGCAGCAGCAGCAGCAGGAGAGTTCTGCTGCAGCGTCTGAGCAGCACCCGCCTCCCCCGCCTCCCCCTGAGCCGGTTTCGGGAGACTCCGAGCCCGGCGCGCCCCCCCCCGCGCAGCAGCAGCAGCAGCAGCAGCAGCAGCAGCAGCAGCAGCAGGACCCGCGCGAGGGGCACTGCAGCGCGGAAGAACTTGCTGCGCTGTCTCGACACTTCGCGGACGGCAGCGCGTGTCCGGCGTTCGGGTGTATAGACACCGAAAGCAGCAACTACTTGGCGCTGATAGAGCAGCACTACAAAGAGAAGTTCAGCGCAGCAGCAGCAGCAGCAGCAGCAGGAGTGTTTGCTGCGTGCCACTGCCGCTGCCCCGTGATGCGCTGCGAAGTCGAGTACGTGTACAGACACTGCAGCAGCGCATGCAAAGCAGCCACTAAAAACTTCTGTCTTCTTTCCAATCAAAAGTTTTCCGAAAAGTGTTTTCAAATTGCAAAACAACTCCCCAAAGTTTACGACATCGACGCGGACCCCCACGCCTTCAAAACGCCCTGCAGAGTCTGCGAGTCAGCCCTCCCGCTGCTGCTGCTGCTGCTGCTGCTGCTGCTGCTGTGGTGCTGCTGCTGCTGCTGCTGCTGTGGTGCTGCTGCTGTTGTGGTGCTGCTGCTGCTGTTGGTGCGGAGTTGCAAGACTGTGGCGTTGCCGGTACAGCTGCTGCTGCTGCTGCCGATGCTGGACTGTTGCTGCTGCTGCTGTTCCTCTGAGTTGCCGCTGTGGCCCGTCTTGCTTGCCTTCCTGCTGCTGCTGCTGTTGCTGCTGCTGCTGCGGGTTGCAGAGCCTCCGCAGTGCCTCGTTTGCTGCAGTTGCTTCCGCTTTTTTGTTTGCTGTTTTGTTTTTAACAGAGAAGAGCTGCCTGAAGAAGAAGCAGCAGCTTTTGTGGAGATGACGGAAACAGCAGCAACCATTGAAGGCAGCAGCAGCGCTGCTGCTGCTGCTCCCTTCTTCTCCCTTGCCTGCCTTGCTGCTGCTGCTGCTCTCCTCTTCTAAGGATTGGAGCCAACGGCCCCCACAAGCGGCGTCGACAGCAGCAGCAGCGGCAGCAGCAGCAGCAGCAGCGGCAGCAGCAGCGGGAGCGCAGCTCCTCGCATGCATGCGCAGCTGTACGTATGCATGCGCAGCTGTACGTACACCCCAGCCAGCCCGCCCCGTGGGGCTTCTTTGCATGCATGGGCTGCATGAATTTAATCAAAAGATTTGTGTTGAGTGAACAAACTGGCAATGCCAATGTGTTTTCTTTCAAGGCATTCAAGCAGCAGCAGCAGCAGCAGCAGTAGCAGTTTCCTAGTGCAGAAAACTAGAGTTAGAACTACCCAGTTGCTGCGTAGAAGCACATGCATCTGCAGCAGCATCTGCAGCAGCAGCAGCAGAGCCTCGAAGGGGACTCAATCTTCCCCGAGGCCTCTAGGGTTTGAACTGCATGCAAAGAATATGGGGTTTAGGGTTTAGAAAACAAAAGCCTCCGCAAGATTCGTTACAGAGGCTGCGCCCCGAGGGTTTAGGGTTTAGGGTTTAGGGTTTGGGTTCAGGGTTTGGCTTTATTTCGTTTTTGGTGAATTCAAATTTGCTAAATCTTTTTGATATTTGCCTTCTGGCTGCAAGCAGCTCTGCTGCTGCTGCAGATCTACAGAAACCCAAAAAGGGGTTTGGCGCTAGGGCTTGCTTCACAGCAGCAGCAACAGCAACAGCAGCAGCAGCAGCAACAGCAACAGCAACAGCAGCAGCAGCGGCCGCAGATGTGTGTGGGGGAGCAGCAGCGCGTTAGTGGCAGGCAGCAGCAGCTCAAGTCGCGTGTGAAGAGGGCTAGAAAGGCGGAACGCTGCAGGATTTGCTGCTGCAGCATTTGCTGCAGCAGCAGCAAAGATGAATAATTTGCGAAAAGTTATATTTGAATTTGAAAAGATTGGAAAGATGTTTTGGAAGAACCTGCAAAGTGGAACGCGCGGAATATTGAACCAGTGGAACTGTGTTGCTGTGGGGCAGCTGGAGGCAGCAGCGGGGGCGTTCTGTGGGGAATTTGGGGAAGTTGAAGGCTGAATTGGAAGGGAAAAGGAATTTGGAGCGGAAAAGAAGCTAAAAAGAGCAGAAGAATTCGAAAAGGAGTTTGGATTGCGGAGCTTTCCGCTTGTTTCCGGCTGCATGTGCGTTGGCTGGGCGTTCGCGGTTCGGAGGGTCCGCCGCGGCGTTGAAGGGGGAATCCGGGAGTTTGGGAGGTTTCTTCAGGAAGCAGTTCTTTCATAAAAGTGATCAGCGAGTCTTTGTTGCGAAAGAGGGAGTTGAAGGCAGCGCGTTCGGGTGTATGCGCAGGTCGGCGCGGCTGCGATACACACCAGTGCGCAGTGCGCGCGGCCGGGCTGCTGGTTGCGGGCGGGCTGGAGAGTTGAATTCCTTTGCACTCAGGGAGTTTCCGTTGCAAATCGAAATAAAAAGCGAATTCGCGGGAGTTGGCGGGTCTCGCGTCCGGGGCGTTGGCGCGTTTGAACTTGCAGCGGCGGGCGCGGCGGTGCTGCGCGGGCGGCGGGGCGGAAACCGGGGGGAAAGCTGCTCGTTTTCGTTTTATTTTCGGAGCCAACGCGGAATTTGGCATTTGGCACTCACTGGAGAGCCAGGAAGTGCGAGGGGGGCGGCGATGGACCCGAAGAAGGACTCGATCCGTCTGTCGACGTACGACGAGCTGTTCAGCTCTCCGGCGCGCGGCGCGGCGGCGGCGCCCGCCCCCCCCGCGGGGGCCCCCGGGGGCCCCCCCGGGGCCCCCCCCGGGGGCCCCCGCGCTGCCTCTCCAGCGCCGCAGACGGCGCTGAAGAAGCTGCGGAGCCTGAAGCGGAAGTCGCTGCAGGCAGGCAAGGCCGCGGAACTGCTGGCGGCGCTGCAGAGGCAACGCGTCGTGATCGACGAAAACGCCATTCACTTCGTGGCGGAGGCGCGGGCGGGCCGGCGCGCAGACGCGCGGAACTCCGTGTTCAAGTTGGCGCAGAAGTACCAAGTGCTGCCGGACCGCGAGCGCATGCAAAGAATAAAGCAGCTGTACGGGAAAGTGCGCGAAAACGAGGACTCCGGGGACGAGGCGTGGGACTGCAGCGCGGCCAGGCTGCCCGGCAAGCTGGACCCGCAGGCCTTCCTCAAGCTGCTGCACCGGGACGACGCCAGGGAGCACTTGTTGACGGAAATGGAGGAGATCAACCAGGAGACTGCGGGCCTGGGCGCTGCGGTGGTGACGCCGGAGCAGATTGCGGACGCCGCCGCGGTCCAGGAGCTCGGCCTCATGCTGCAGCAGAAGGAGCAGCAGCTGCAGCGAGACCAGCAGCAGCAGCGAGACCAGCAGCAGCAGCGCGGGGAGGACGCGCAGCAGCAGGGGGACGGGGACAGCGACGACGGCGACGTCGAGTTCGACGACGACGACATGAACAGTCCGCGGGCCGCGCCCGCCCGCTCCTCCTGCTGCTCCTCCTGCTGCTGCTCCTGCTGCTCCTGCTGCTGCTCCTGCTGCTGCGTTTCTGCTGCGGGGCGCTTCGGGGGGCTTTGCTGCTTCTGCCGCGGCTGCTGGCTTCTTTTGTCTGCCTTTGCTTCTTGGCTTTCCGGCAGTTCCTTTTCCCCGCTCAGTTCTTCTCCTCTTGGTTGTTTCCTCCAGTTCCTCTTCTGCGAAAATGAATGCAAAGTTCCATGCCCAAAAACAAACTCCAGTTCTTTTCACTTCTTTTTTGTCTTTCGCTTCAGCGCTGAATTCGCTGCAAAGGGAATTCGTCGGAAACAATTTATTCCACTGGTTCAAAGACATTCAAAAGGCGTACGAGAGCGGCGTGAAGCTGGTCAAAGTGAACAGAATGGGATACAAGTTCATTCGCATCGTCACAATCAAAGAAATGGTAAACTCCGTGCATTCTAAATGCATATTTCACTTCTTTTCCCCTTCTATTTCCCCAAAATTTGCAAATTTTCGAGCTTCCCGTTCGCCGGACGGGCGCGCGACGCCGAGGTGTACAGACACCTCAGCCGCGCGCGCCGCTTTCGTTCAATTCGGATTTGCACTTCTGCATTTCTTTTTCCTTTCGTTTTCAACGCGGAATTAAGTTGGTTTTTGCTCTTTTTAATTTTCAACTTCTTTTTTCTCAATTTGCTTCCTTTCCGTCGTTTGGTTGCAGCTTCTCACCATTCACCAGCCGCACACCCACTCCCAAGCCAAAGTCGACCGCCAAGTCGCCGTGCATTCAATTGTTTCAGTTTCTTTGGGAAAAGACTCGAAGGAGTTTGCGGCTTTGGAGGAACTCGTCAAGGAAAAGAAAGAAGCAGCAGAATTCAAGTTAGCCCGGAGTTCTTTTCTTTTTTTTGCAAGAAGAAGTGTTCAACTTCTTCTTTATTCCATTCTCTCTTTGCATGCGTCTCCTCTCTTTTCCTTCTGCGCAACTCCAGCGCTGCTGCATCTGCTGCTGCTGCTTTTGCTGCTGCTGCTGCTGCTGTATTGCATGCTTTGCTGCTGCTGTTGCGCTCTGCAGCCCGCAAGGCACTGTCTGCTGCGTGGTGAAGCTGCCTAAGAACAGGAGTCTTTCTCTTGTTTTTCTGTAAGTTTGGAGTTGCGGGAGTTTTGATTTTAATTAATTTCGTTTTTATTTTCTTTTTTGCTTCTTTGCAGCTAGTTGCTTCCTATCTTTGTGTCTCTCTTGTTCTTTTTGCTTCTCCATCTTCCTTAATTATTTTTAATTCTTTTTTTCCTTTTCTTGTCTATAGAAGCTGCTGCTGGCCTTTTAAATGGCCCATTTGCATGCACTTGCTGCATGCATGTGCTGCATGCACGTGTTGCCTGCATTTGCCGCACGCATTTGCTGCATGCATTTGTTGCGTGGACTTGCTGCATGCACTTGTTGCATGCGTTTGTTGCATGCATGGCTGCATGCACTTGTTGCATGCACTTGTTGCATGCACTTGCTGCATGCATTTGCTGCATGCAGTTTGGATTAAATGGAGTTGATTTAATGCATTTAATTTGCTGCAGAGACGAAGACAACAGAAATGGATTTGTCTTCTTTCTCCGCGTGCTGATAAAAAAGGCCAAGGCGGCGGTGCAGCAGCTGGAGACACAAAGCGCCTAAACCCTAAACCCTAAACCCTAA